CCGGGGGAGTGGGAAGGTGCCTGCCAGCCACTGCCCCCTGCCCAGCCATGCCCCTGGTGCTGAGCCCCATCCCCACGCAGGGAAGGGGAGCGCTGGTACCGCCTGCGCCAGGTCCTCAACAAGCGGCTGCTGAAGCCCTCGGAGGCGGTGCTGTACGCGGATGCCATCGGGGAGGTGGTGTCAGACCTGATGGTGCGGCTGCGGGACGGGGGTGCTGGTGGGGGACGTGGCCAACCTGCTCTACCGCTTCGCCCTGGAAGGTAGGGGGGTCATCCCCTTCGCCCCTGCCCTGCCCCGCTCTCCCCATCCCCGCAGGGGTCTGGATGCAGCCTGTCCCCCACAGGGATCTCCTATATCCTCTTTGAGACCCGCATCGGGTGCCTGAAGCAGCAAGTCCCCGCTGAGACCCAGCGCTTCATTGACTCCATCAACCTCATGTTCAACCTCATGTTCAAGAACTCCATCTTTGCCACCGTCCTGCCCCGATGGAGCCGCAAGGTACTGCCCTTCTGGGACCGCTACCTGGACAGCTGGGACACCATCTTCGCCTTCGGTGAGTGGTGATGATGGGGGCCCGGCACGGTGGGATCGGACCGCCTAAGGACCCTCAAAAGTGGGGCAGTCCCCAGCCACGTGTCCTTTTGGCTGCCCTCGCTCTGTCAGCGCTGGGTCCTGCTCTCTGCCCCCACAGGCAAGACCCTGATTGACCGGAAGATGGAGGAGCTGGAGGGGCAGGTGGAGCGGGGCAAGGAGGTGTCCGGCTACCTGAGCTACCTGCTGGCCAGCGGCAGGCTCACCCTGGAGGAGGTCTATGGCAGCGTGGCCGAGCTGCTGCTGGCCGGCGTGGACACGGTGAGAGCTGCTGCCGGGGAGGGGGAGCGCTCCCCAGCCCCTGCGAGCTCTGGGCTGGTGGTTGGGGGGCTGATGCCCCACACGGGCAAACCCTCAGGGATCGGTCAGGACAGACCCTATCCTCCGTGCTGCTCCCTGCCCTGCTCCCTACCTCAGTTTCCCCTGTGCTCACTGTCCCTCACCCCTGGTTTCCCTGCGTGCTGGAGCAGGGGCTGTCTGGTGCCGTACTGGTGCCATGCTTGGCACAAGTCTGCTCGGGTACCAGCCCCATCTCACTCCCTTCCATGCTCTCCTCCCCTCAGACCTCCAACACGCTGTCCTGGGCCCTGTACCACCTCTCCCGGGACCCAGGTGTCCAGGAGACCCTGTACCAGGAGCTGAAAGCGGTTGTGCCAGCCAACCGGTTTCCTGGTGCTGAGGATATCCCCAAGATGCCGATGCTTCGGGCTGTTATCAAGGAGACACTGAGGTACAGCCCAGCCTTGCCCCTGTCCCAGGGTCCCTGTCAACATCCCCTTCCCCAGGGCTGGGGGCAGCCCCTTTTTCCCACATTGGGGGACGCACCAACCGGGATGGCTGGTGATGGGGGACATGGGGGCACGGGCCGGGCAGGGTGCAGGGCTGGATTTCAGTCCCACAGGGCTGGATTTCAGTCCCACAGGGCTGCATCCATCCAGCTCCTCCCTGGGGAGGGGGATGAAGCTGCTGAGCAGTGGGAGATGCTCCT